TCTCGATGAATATTCTTACACACATTGTTGTTATTTTTTGTAATGCAGGAATATGATGTCATGATACTTCAGTATTTGTAGCCAAATGTACTTTTGCATGCAACGTGTCAACATCAGTGGCTGATACGACAATATACTTGCCGGCACATAGATCCTTCTCAGACATGGTCTTGATGGTTCTGGAAGGATTTGATTGTGTGACCGTTTTGTTGAACGAGGTGTCAACTGGAAAAACAATGGAACCAAAATAACAACTCTGTACAGCTTGTCCTTCGACTGGTGATTTTGATGGAATATTGTAGTGGATGGTATTAGAAACACGATATTGTAACATGCTGTTCCGGAGATGCAATGGTATTTAGAACTGGCTCTGGTATTACTCATTTAGAAACATACACAATACCCACTCTGTACCTGCTATATTTGACTTGTCATTTTGGCAGGGCGTCGTAGCATATGTTATAAGAAACAGGATATTGTAACATATTATCGAGATGGTATTTAGAAATTGCTCCGGGGTGTAATCGAATTACTTATTCATAGATTACATTTTCCTTACTCATCAGTAGTTTCCCCGAACCCAACAGTACGAGTGCATATTGAATAGTATCATCATTTTGGTTATAACATGACACGGGTATTTGCTTCATCATGTGAGAAACTGCTAATGTTTGGAACACTTATTGTCAACTATCAACACAAAATGCTCAATGGTATGAAATATTTACCTTTTATGACTTTCAAGTGGACCGGACTTCCAAGCGCGAAATTATTGCTACCCGAGACACTGCACTTATATACTGATGTATCCGTGACATCCACACAAGAAAACTGAAGTGTTCCTGCAAAATACACAAATGAAATTATATTCTTCTTGTACCTGTAGGACCTTTCTATGACAAGGTTATGCTTCGTGGAATTTGAGTTTTAAGATCGTTCTAACAATGGTCTGACAGAAATATGTAGATTGTTGCATGACTTACTGCTGCTTACCTTTCACGTCTATTTTTATCCTGTGATCAGGTGTGATTTGCAGAAGTTCCTTTGTGTCAGTCATTTTAAACCAGCCGATTATCCCAGGAGGAGGTTTGCGGCAAGTCAGGGATAGAGGCAGTCCCCCATAGCAATACTTTGTGATCAGTGGCGCTCGGTCACTCCATGACGCTGATTCAGCTGGGAATCATCAGTCATGAAAATTATTTTGACAAATAATAAATTAGGCCAAACGAAATGTTATTTTCGTCAATGTCTGTTGAAGGGACTGGTATAATAAACCACGATTCATAGATGACATAAAGTAAATGAACTTAAATCTATGTAAACTTACGCTGGTTCAGACGATACCGCTTACAACATGAATTGTTATCATCTAATAGTCAAGTAGAATTTGTAAAATAATATATATAACTTTGTAGAGATGCATTACATAAACAAAGGATCAATTCCAACACCTGTATGTCTAGAATCAATTTTCATCAGTAAAATATTCACTATAATATTCAAAATAGGCAGCAATATTGTTATGCTCAAGATATCCAAAACGAGGTTTCAGTATAGAATACAGTATATCTGACTGAGTACTCTTTTTGGAGGAATGATAAAGTCGCGTTACATAACATAGTTCATCTAACTTTGTACAGTGAGAGCGAGATTTTCAGAAATCCAGGGAACAGATGAAAATTAACATGCATCTCTAACCTGCACAGCACCTCACAGCTAATATCACCAGTATCGTGAGTTTGAGTTTCCACATGTTGTGTTTGATTACTGCAAATACAAAGCATGAATTTCAGGTTGAATGATGATTGTATGATTTGAACAAACATTGAAACATTAAACAAAACAATTATTATTATTATTGAACTACTGTCACAATCACAGACACATTCAGAAATGTACATGAAGTTTGTTAGATAGGTTCCACGGGTTTGAAAGGTACAACTGTATTATAACAACGACATCATTGCTCTAGTCTGTACACCTCTTTCGTGTAAATGTGTAAATTGCTGTGCTCCACACTATATATTGAATACATGACTTGTATTTATTTGGGAACTGTGGTGTTTCCAAGCTTCCCTTTTGTGACATTTGATACTGAGTAAATGCAGAGGTTTGATTTTGGTTGGTTGTTTAACGCCGTACTAAGCATTATTCCAGCTATATGACGGCGGTCTGTAAATACTCTAGTCTGGACCAGACAATCCAGTGACTGATACCATGAGCATTGATCCACGCAATTGGGATCCATGACATGCATCAACCAAGTCAGCGAGACTGACCACCCGATCCCGTTAGTTGCCTCTTACGACAAGCATAGTCGCCTTTTACAGCAAGCTTGGGTTGATGAAGAGCTATTCTACCCCGGATCTTCACGGGTCAGTAAACGAAGAGACCGACGAGAAAGGTGTCAGCAATACCTTGCAAATCAATCTCATCACTTACATCTCTAGAAGGCCCCGGTAATACCATTACACATTTTCCAGTGCGGTGTCTTTACTTTCGGTTTTGATCAATTGCATACCTCCTACAGTCTCAAACGTGATTACCTTGCCTTCCGCTTTAATAATGAGGAACATCAATGCATATCCACTCTAATGATGCCACACGACACCATTTCCAATTTCATGACATCGCTGATGTTTGTTCCAGTTCCAGTTTGGGAAAACATGTGTCTAATGAAGTACAACTCTAACACAAGATAACTCACGACTCGGCCCCGCCCTAAGGGTAACATGTACCAAGCCCCATTTGCATACGGAAATGTTTTCATGGAATTGGCCGTTGTAGATTATTTTGGGATCCTATGACCATGAGAATGTTCTGGACACTTGGTATAATTGAACCTAACAGTAATATACTTGATATGACACACCTTAGATTGGCGGCGGGTGTCAAATTTTGAGAAAACATAACGATAAGGAATTTGCATTAACAGGGGGATGTTTAATTATGTACACGTACTGTCATTACGTTTGTTTTTGTTTTTTGTTGTTTGTTGTTTTTACTGCCCTGAAGTTGATGACAGATCTACAACAAGGAAATATACGGTTGTGATTATGTCCATATACATTCATGCCATGCCCGTATACCAGTACCTCTATCCAAAAGACTGCTCATCACACACAAAGTTCACAGTCCTTAATTGCATGGCCAATACAGGAAGTCTTGAGGGTTCATTGCTCAACAAATATTCAGGTGTGTTAGTGCAATGTTATATTTCCTTGTTTTCTCCGCGTGGTTCACGTTATTCGAATACATGTGAAATTTTACACCCAAACATCATATAAGAACTAATAACATAAATGTTGATTAAAAACTTCGGTTGACGTTCAACTCGTTGCCGGAAAAAAGTAATCCTTACCTTCAATGAGTTATGAGGAAATCCGTGTTGAATTATTGCAGCTGTACCCCTGTATCTGCCTCATCAAAACTAGGAGATCTGACGAGACTGAAACCGAAAACAAAATATGAAACTTCAATGACAGAGAATAATCAGTCTCAAGTATTCCGCGAAAACAGATACCATTGGGCGTAAAAGGCAAAATAGCGGTTACAATAATGCTCTGACTCTTAAAAGAAAAAAGGAAAAAAAATCCGAATGAGCGAAAAAGCAATGATGAACTAAAGTAGTGAGGGGATAATTGGGTGAGTTAATAAGTTTTAACTCAGCTTTAAACATTATTCCAGTAACACCACGGCGTGTAAGCTTACCGTGGGAGGAAAGAGCGAAATGTTGCGGGTCTTAGACCTTTACCATTTTGGTGAAACCACGAGCACGGGTATGTGCTGACAAACCTAGACACAAAATCGGGGCTAACCGGGATTCGAACCCACGATCATAAGTTTCTGGCGTGCCCAAGGGAAGCAACTCTGCACAGCGAATTGTGGCGCCTTAGATGACTTGGCCACCCGTATCCACTGACTATTGTACACGCCTTGTGTCTTTGTATTTACATATTTTCTCTTCGGACGAAACCACGACAAGGAAACAGAAAAAAAGCAATACACCGATAGAATAGAAGGCAAATACTACTGTGCTCTTAATGATATTAACCTCCGACAAGGTCTTGTGGATAAAGCGTCTTCTCGGAGACCGGTAGGTCGGTGGTGAGATCCCCGGCCGCGTCAGGCCAAAAGACGTTAAAAGATGGTGCTTGTTGTGATCCTGCCTGACTCTCAATCTGCATTACCGGAATGAAACTAGAAGTACATACATACATACATACATACATACATACATACATACATACACACATACTCTTCAGCAAAATCTTCCCTGTGTTGCTATTCTGACGAAATGAAACGAAAACGAATTATGAACAAAGAATTAATAAGATATGTGTAGCATGACCCAAAAGAGGCAATCTTTACAATTTGCTGTCAGCATTGATATTCTAATGATTTCCGCATAAATACAGCGGACTTTCCAGACTGTCTTTGAAGAGAAAACAAAACAAAAAACATAGTTTCACCTTTTCAAAACACCTTAATCATACCAATGGATATACATCTTTTTGCTGCATAAAGACCGCCTCCGCCATTGTGATCGTTAATATTTCTTTGTTGCATCGCTTATTGATCTTTCACACTTTTGTGTACATTTGGGGGTATTCGTATTGCGTTTATTGACTGGTTCTTACACTTTCAGGGGCATGGGAGGCCGAGCCGTATAGGTCGCCGTAATCCGTGCATTTGGCAGTACCGGATCCGCTGATCGCGAGTTGGAATCCAAGTTCGATATTACTGAAGAACTGCTAAAAGAACTCCCAGACATTGACTGCACTGGAGCTACGCATGGTTTGTTACTGATGCACAGCTGGAATATTGTTGACTGCGGCTTTACATAACATTCACACACTCACTGTATGTTTGACAATGTAAAATTGTGTAAATAAAACAAAAACAAATACAACCACACTTAAGTTGTGCCAAGTGACATTTATTAAGGCAATATGACAAAAATGAAATTGCAATTTCTTAAAGGTATAAATCATGTGAAAATGCTACATACAGGTACATGTACATGTATAATATGTGTGAAATACCCGACAATCATTATTGTAGTCACTGTATGTCATGATGCATTTAAAGTCAAATACGTAACGCGTAACGTGACATGTGTTAGTGTCCTGGCCACATGTCCGGTTATATTCAGAATTATTTAAAAAAAATATAATTGAAACTGGGTGTGTTGAGGGTTGCCTGAACCAATTATAGCAATGGCATTATGCGGTTTTGTACAACCTCTTTAACACAGAACTGTCCACGTACCAACTGACATAAATGATACGATGCCTTTACTAACTAGGACTCCCGGTTATTATGGGTTCCTAGCACTTGACAAAGAGGCATCTTAACTGGATAAGGATTCAGGCTCGTTGACGGCGTCTCATCGTACCTCGATGGCGTGGGACGTGGTTCATAATTTTAACCACTGGTTTGTCTCGGCCAAAACATTGATATAAATTATATGACCACATGAAGCATGCGTAGATGCCAGTACGGAACCTATATGATCATCCGTGCTTAATTAACAACATTTACATGACTGATGAAATGCCTTTCACAAAATAGACCCGGGTACAAACGGAGAAGAACAAGACGGCGTTGTAGAAGTAAAAGTACTTGAACATCAGCACCTACCCTGACACATCCCACCACCAGCACCTACCCTGGCACATCCCACCACCAGCGACCTACCCTGCCACATTCCACCACCAGCACCTATCCTGCCACATTCCACCACCAGCACCTACCCTGCCACATTCCACCACCAGCACCTACCCTGACACATTCCACCAGCCAGCACCTACCCTGACACATCCCTCCACCAGCACCTAGCCTGACACATCCCACCACCAGCACCTACCCTGCCACATTCCACCAGCCAGCACCTACCCTGACACATTCCACCACAAGCACCTACCCTGACACATTCCACCAGCCAGCACCTACCCTGACACATCCCTCCAGCCAGCACCTACCCTCCCAAATTCCAACAGCCAGCACCTACCCTGACACATCCCTCCACCAGCACCTATCCTGCCACATTCCACCACCAGCACCTACCCTGACACATCCCACCACCAGCACCTACCCTGCCACATTCCACCACCAGCACCTACCCTGACACATCCCACCACCAGCACCTATCCTGCCATATCCCACCACCAGCACCTATCCTGCCACATCCCACCACCAGCACCTACCCTGCCACATTCCACCACCAGCACCTAGCCTGACACATCCCACCACCAGCACCTACCCTGCCACATTCCACCAGCCAGCACATACCCTGACACATTCCACCACAAGCACCTACCCTGACACATTCCACCAGCCAGCACCTACCCTGACACATCCCTCCACCAGCACCTACCCTGACACATCCACCACCAGCACCTACCCTGCCACATTCCACCACCAGCACCTACCCTGCCACATCCCTCCACCAGCACCTACCCTGCCACATTCCACCACCAGCACCTAGCCTGACACATCCCACCACCAGCACCTACCCTGCCACATTCCACCAGCCAGCACCTACCCTGACACATTCCACCACCAGCACCTACCCTGACACATTCCACCAGCCAGCACCTACCCTGACACATCCCTCCACCAGCACCTACCCTGACACATCCACCACCAGCACCTACCCTGCCACATTCCACCACCAGCACCTACCCTGCCACATCCCACCACCAGCACCTACCCTGATACATTCCACCACCAGCACCTACCCTGCCACATTCCACCAGCCAGCACCTACCCTGACACATTCCACCACCAGCACCTACCCTGCCACATTCCACCACCAGCACCTACCCTGCCACATCCCTCCACCAGCACCTACCCTGACACATTCCACCAGCCAGCACCTACCCTGACACATTCCTCCACCAGCACCTACCCTGCCACATCCCAGCACCTACCCTGCCACATCCCACCACCAGCACCTACCCTGCCACATTCCACCACCAGCACCTACCCCGCCACATCCCACCACCAGCACCTACCCTGACACATTCCACCACCAGCACCTAGCCTGACACATCCCACCACCAGCACCTACCCTGCCACATTCCACCTGCCAGCACCTACCCTGACACATTCCACCACAAGCACCTACCCTGACACATTCCACCAGCCAGCACCTACCCTGACACATCCCTCCACCAGCACCTACCCTGACACATCCACCACCAGCACCTACCCTGACACATTCCACCACCAGCACCTACCCTGACACATTCCACCAGCCAGCACCTACCCTGCCACATTCCACAAGCCAGCACCTACCCTGACACATTCCACCACCAGCACCTACCCTGCCACATCCACCACCAGCACCTACCCTGACACATCCCACCACCAGCACCTACCCTGACACATCCCACCACCAGCACCTACCCTGACACATCCCACCACCAGCACCTACCCTGACACATCCCACCACCAGCACCTACCCTGCTACATTCCACCACCGGTCCTGTTTCTTTATTGGGATGATAACAAAACACGTGATAACCCATTTGTGAACGCGATACTCCGTTGTCATTGAAGAGAAACACATGTGAACAGTAAAAATAAAACAAAATTGATTGTACCCAGGTGAAATAAAACTCTAATATCGACAGTCATGAACATGGTAAAGCAGAATTTTGCAACAGACAGTTTGAAATTAATTTCTGAAAGTGTGTTATTACTAGCCAACATTAACTCCCACAGCGTCATATTGGCAGGTTGATGTACGGTTGTCTGTCTTCTGTTTCTTCAAGCGCCTGAAATCGAAGTATGTTAAATTAAATCATTAGCATATACTTAACAATGGCAACAGGTACATGTATGTTGGAGGTTTTACACACAATAAAAACTCTTGCAAAATATCGCTATACACCTTACGCGTAGGAATATATGTGAATCGATGCTCATGACGTCAATCACTGGATTTTCTGGCCCGATTCGATTATTTACAGAAGGCCGTCATGTAGGTGGAATATTGCTGAGTGCGACGTTAAACAACAAACAAACGAAACACAAGCGAAAAACCATAAACACATTAGTAAACAACAGACAGGTTATCGCATATCATATTGCAGTTATTACCTTAGATTATTTATGTTGCTTATCAGAAAGACAAACGAATTATTTATATTTATTTATATGTATATATAGGTTCGATCCCCGGCCGCGTCATACAAAAAGACGTTTAAAGATGGTACTTGTTGTTACCCTGCCTGGCGCTCGGCATTAAGGGGCTAAAACAAGGACTGGTCGGCTCGGAGTCAGTATACTGTGTCTGAGTGGGGTATTCATGTTAAATTGCGGCATGGTATCTCAGTGTGCTAGCACTATAAATCGGCATCAGTCCAGACTAGTACAAGCAGCCACACACACACACACACACACGAGTGCAATAATCTTGGACGCGACGTTAAACCCAATTTCACCTCACCTCACCTATTTATATGTAAACTGAACTTTAGCTCATAGAGGTCCATTATAACATTAATGGGTCAAAGAGAAAATCAATATCCAATTTTGTATGGTGAATATTCACGATTTCATTATTTACATCACCATGTTTGTATACTGCATTTTCAGATAATCATTGTGAAATAGGGAAATATCTTGGCCGTTTTGCAGTAAGTTTTAATAATGAGGTATATTAAATTAAAAACGTGATTCTTTATACCATATCTTGTTACACACAAGTGTACCAATCAGTGCAAGCACGATAAGCACGATCACTGATGTAGCGACCAGAATAGAGGACGGTCCACCAGCCGACGCTGAAATGAGGAGAGGTTTCATAAGTTTCGATTCATACATTTTACCCAAACCATGTTTTTAAATGCTTCGAAATAGCTTATTGATGTTGTGTTAGTGATACTTAAACAATTGGATAATGGCTTTACCAACGCTCGACTGTTGATGTACAGGCTCCCATACATTGCACAACGCCTCAGCAAAGGAGAACATCTCGGAAGTAACGCTTTGACTTGGTTAATATAAATCACTGTTTCAATTACAGGTTGCATGGGTAGGTTAGCTATGACGCTGGTTTGCTGAGCTGTTATAAAACATAGTTAAGTCATGTTTGCTTTGTAACTAAATTAGTGATCAAAGAACCCTAACACTGCACATTTAAAGGGATGTTTTGTAAATGGCATGATGCATATTTTGCCTGCTGTGGTGTCATCATTCTGCTCATCGGATGGAGTGGAATGCTTAGCGTTTGGTGGGACTGCATATAATGAGAAAGTAGGTCTCAGGGTGTACTGTATTTTCAAATATTTTCTTTAGTCACAATTGTATTAACGAATATTAATATTATTATTTACAGAATTTTAAAAAAAAAATGCATCAAAGAGGTTTTGGGTGATCCTGGCACAGTCAGGCAGGTTATGTTCATCATCAGCGCAGGACCCTTGCCCCTACTAGGTTTTCAGCAACCCATGCTTGCCGTAAAAGGCGACTATGCTTGTCGTAAAATACGGCTAACCGGATCGGGTGGTCAGGCTCGCTGACTTGGTTTATGCATGTCATCGTATCTCAATTGCGTGGATCGATGCTCATGATGTGAATCACTGGATTGTCTGGTCCAGACTCGATTATTTACAGACCACCGTCATATAGCTGAAATATTGCTGAGTGTGGCGTTAAACAACAAACCTAACCAAAACCTCTACACGCAGCCCAGACAACGAAAGGGACTTCTCCCCGGAAGCGCTTTCTAGTCGAACCCACGCAGAACGTTTTCGGAGAATGTGAATACTCCCAAACACACTGCACACAGACTCAATGCAGTGGTCGCGTAGAAAGCCTCTCCCCGAGTCTGGACCGATTTGAAATGGCACTACGTTTGGTTGACACTCATTTCCGTACTGTCCAGAAACCATCCAGAACCATCAACAAAATCAAAATTGACTTTGAGATTATGTCCCACATCCTTAGCTCGTTTAAGAAACTGTGGAATACATTCTTCGAAAAAATAAATGATGTGTGCAAAAATGCACAATACAATTCCATCAAGGAGAGCCCCCTCGCCAATGAAACCATGCCTTCCCATAGTAACTTACAATATAAGCGATTGAGGCAAGAGCTAAAATGGAGTCGGGTCGGAAATATTATTATGATTTCAGAAGAATTATAACATTGACAACGAAATATCTTGTTGATGTACTACAAAAAACATTATTCATGTAATGCTAGCCATACCGCACCATGTTTGACTATATGTTGACGCTGTTAATATCCTGAACTGAAGATGTGTTAGAATAGAAGTGCGAGAAGTCATGTATTCTGCAATAAAGTTGTAACCCGTTCAGTAACATTACTACTGCACACAGTGGCACTATGGCCGGTGGATTGTAACAAACCAGTCATTGATATTGTCTGCAACAACCCAAGCTGTCGGAGTACGTTGGCAAAGAATCAAGTTGAACCAAATCACTGAGCCTGACCAACCATTCACGCGAGTTTCCTCTTACGACAGGAATATGTTGCTGGGGACCAACTGTAATCTGGAATCTCAGCCGAGAGGAATACATGACAGTGTGAAAAATAGCTTGACTTACTGATACTCCTCCTTGATACGTCTAAAGTAACAGATGAAGACTCAGACCCTGCGATGTTCTCTCCTGTACATGTATATACTCCGTGGTCAGCCTCAGTCACGTTCTTGATGACCACAAATCCGTGAGAGACCAGAACTCTGCCACGTGACTTGATGGTTTTGTCAGAATGTGTCCACGATATCTTTGGTGTAGGTCTGCAAAGACGAGTAAGTGTGTATACATTTCACCATTCATATTAATGTGATTTTGATGACTAATCAGTCAGTTGGTGCCACTGTGATAGCATTCATGCCAAGGCTGTATGGTGAACTGTATGGCCCTGAGCTGATGATGATCCTCACCAGCCTAACTGTGCCGGGATCACCCAAACCCTCTTTGCTGCATTTTAGTTATTCTAATCTGTACATAAGTAATGTGTTTTCAAATGGAAGAACTATTTAGTATGGATGTCTGGTTGTTTTTACATTACTTTTAGCAATATTCCATATCACTAAGAGCAACACCAAAACAGAAGTTCAAACTTGTGGGTCGAACCGGGTCCACGGTGTGACAAGTTCAAGGTAAGCACTTGTGATAAAACAGATACAAGAGCGTTGCATGACAACATATGACAACAGACCTGCCGCTGAAGATACATTCCAGTTGTACATCCTCTCCGAGTTCACTCTTGATGGTGCCGCTGTGAAACATCACCTTTGGCTTCATGTCCATCACTTCACCTGAAACACGAGAACAAGTATGTAACTGTCTTGAAATGACAACGTATGATATGGCCTGTTTGACCCACTGGAAATGTCTTTCTTTTCACATTGCGAAACAGATTGAAACATTATCATGGAATTTATCATTTCTTCTACCTTTTCCTCTAACACCTTCTTCAATGTGTACTCCTAATCGTTATGGGAAAAGGGGAAGGTTTTTGTCTCTTTTATTTACCTGTTGATTTTTTGACGGTCATATTGACTGTACTTCCAAAGACCACAGAGCCAGATGACATTACACTGACCCCACACTCGAACGATCCCGTGTCGTGTCCATGCACAAAGGAAAAGTGAAGTGTGCCTAAAAACAAATAATTGCAGCCTAAAGTGATTCAAACTGACAAAACAAACTGAACGGTATTTATGCCAGGGCGTGTCAGCCTGATGTGGAGCAATTGACACAGGTTGTAGAAGTGTTTTGTTTGTTTGTAGTTTAACGCCGCACGCAGAAATATTCTAGCTATTTGACGGCGGTCTTTAGAGGTGTACTTTGGTGAGACACGTAACTGGTGACATAGTAAGCCAGGGCCATAATCGGGGCCAGGC